AAAAGTTTTGTGGGGAGCTTACATGGAAAAAAATACACACACATATATATATATATATAATAAATATAAATTAGAAATAATACAACAAAAAGAACAACCGCATAGCAGCCAGAAAAAAACATTACATTATGTTTCCAAATAACCTGCTAAAAAAATCTTTCACCCTTTTGTCACTCCTAGTTTTGAAAACATATTTTAAATTAATTTCATTCGGCATCTTTTTGCCATAACAAGATACCTTTTATAGAACCATCAAATTAATAAACAAACTGAATAATATTTTCATACATATATTATATGTATGAAAATATTATTCTGTATGTTTATTAATTTAATTAATTATTTTTTAATTATGTTGATAAATTTGTAATGTTTTTTTTCTGGCTGCTTTGCGGTTGTTCTTTTTGTTGTATAATTTCTAATTTGTCATTTTGGATGAATCGTTTGCTAAACCAATATATGCAAAGCTCTGTTCACACAAAGAATGACACAATAAACTGATGCGAATCACTGAAGAAATCACATGAACAAACGTGAGCAAAACATACTAAAAGTAAAACAAAACATCCGTTTGACTGCAAATGTTCAGCGGGATGAGTTCTATAGGGATGCATTGTTTTGTTTTAACAATGTGAAAATTGACTGAAAATCTACACTGTATAAATAAGCCTTAATTGAATGCAAATGAGTGTGTGTGACTCAGGTGTGAATGAACATGAAGCTTCACAGTGCTGTATGGGGAAACTTCTGCTCTACTTTATGACAGTGTCTTGACATCTGATCCTCCTTTATACTGATCTTTAAAGTGTTTCTTCATAAAATGCCCCAGCTGGTCATTTATTCAGATTATTGTGAATGTTTCCTGATTTGAAATCTTCTCATAACTGATTGTTTTTGTCTTGAACAGGGGATTTTGTTAAAAAGAAGTGGGAAGTCACTTAATAAGGAGTGGAAGAAGAAATACGTCACATTGTGTGACAACGGTCTGCTCACGTACCACCCCAGTTTACATGTGAGTATGTCACCTGCTCTGCTGTTACAGATCCGATTCATTTTGCTGAATCGGTTCATTCTGATGATTCAGTTCAGTCAGCCAGTTCAAATAAATGATTCACTGATTTGTGTTTGGTGTAAATTCATGCATTCCAGTTTGGCGTCACACGTTTACCTGTTAACCAACCTTTTCACTCAGAAAATGCTAGTAAATTTCACAAATAATTACAAAGAACAGGCAAGTAACACATTGAATGAAACGTGAATTTTTAGAAAAGACTGAAATAGCATTTTCTTGTAAAATGTAATCCAGTAATCTTTGCTATATTTACAACTTCAAAAATAATTTATAATAATAATAATCAACAATATTTTTGTTTGTCATTTTCAAAATATTAAAAATATGTTTTAAGTTCACAAAAAAAAATTTCTAGAAAATATTAGAATATGTTTAAATACTAGCACTTAAATACTTACATGTTAGAATAGACTAGAATAGAATAGACCCCAAAACGTAATTACTAGAGTCGGTAACTAAATAATACTGGAACCAAATGATTTTTATGACATTTGTTGGTTCAGGTAGACTGTAAAAATTATTTTTCAATTATTGGAGAAACTTTTGCAAGAAAATACTGTTTCCGTTTTTCTAAATGTAACACTTAATTCAATGTGTTACTTGCCATTTTAACCAAGAATTATTACAGTTAATTAACAATAATTAATGGATTCCAGATCATTTTAAGAAAGCTAGTTTTGTTCTCAGAATGTTCCTAAAATGGACTTCCTACTCTTTTGCTTTTCATTTTATATACTGCACAGATTGTTGATTATATGAAGGTTTTTATTCTCTCTCTCTCTGTTTGTTATGAGTTAGGCATATTGTTTGTTTTAGATTTTGTAAAAGTTATGAAAATAGTATATATATATATAA